ATGAGATGGGGTTGGTAAGAACAGCTGAGCAGCAATGGCTGAGTGGCAGCACAGCAAGGGCTGAGGTTTTGTTGTGAAACAACTATACTCAAGTATGCTGGGTCCCCGCAGAGAGGTCAGGTGGCACTAGCACAGGGTAGTGGGACTGTGCCTGCCCCTAGAGCTCAGGCACTGGGAGCAGCTACTCTGGAAACTCAGGTGGCTGGAGGCCCAGTGGGGGTCAGACCTGGCACTGATCATAGCAGGTTAAGTAGTGCTCTACTCCAGAGTCTTTGTTGGCCAGGTGTAGTGGCGCACGCCTATAATCCCTGCACTTGGGAGGCTGGGGCAGGATTGCTGTGAGTTCGAGGCCAGCCTTGGCTACAAAGTGAGTTCAAGGCCAGCCTCAACTGCATAGTGAGACCCTGTCTCAATTGGCAGTGTACCCAGGAAGAGAGAAGTGGCTGTCGAGGGGCTGAGCGCCCCACCACCTGGCCTCAGGGTGTCTCAAGGGGCACAGGCCACTTCTCTCTTCCGCCTTTCATGATGTCAGCCAACTCACCCGAGAGGCCCTTCTGTGCGCCAGCCCCTCCTCCACTGCCAGCACCTGGGTGGGGTCCTTGGGGTCTGGGGACCCCTTGCTCCAGCGGCGTGTGCTCCGTGTCCTTGCCATGCGGGCTGGGCCAGAGATCCCTGCAGAAGCCCCGAGTCCGCCCTCACTGGGGCTCTCCATGGCTAGAACTGGTGCCCAACGTGCTCAACGTGACAGAGGTCATTCAGTGGAGAAAACAAATGGTGCTGAGGTACCTGTATGCTAAAATATAAACCTCAACTCATCCTGTACAGCAAGATTAAAGGCTAACTGAAAGTAAATCACAAGTTATTGTTTGTTTGTTTGTTTTTCTGATACCAGGAATCGAACTCACGACCTCGCGCTTGCCAGGCAGGTGCTGTGCCGCTGAGCTAAATCCCCAGCCCTAGATCACAAGTTAAATGTAAAACCTCAAACTGTTAACTATCCAGAGGAGAACAAGAAAAATTTCTGGAACCCTGGATTAGACAAATATTTCTTAGATGTTAAATATGATCCTAGGTATGATGGCACACACCTCTAATCTCATTCAGGAGGCTGAGGCAGGAAAACCCCAAGGCTGAGGCCAGTCTGTGTTACATAGTGAGATCCAATTTACTTATTTTTGGTACCAGCAATCAACTCAGGACCTCGTGCTTGCCAGGCAGGTGTTGTGCCACTGAGTTACATCCCTAGCCCTGTGAGATCCTATTTTAAAAAGCCAAAAAGAGTGTGTGTATAATTCCCAAAAGAAAACAGAATCCCCAAAACAAAAAACCAGAAATATTAGCAATATTACCAGAACTGTATCTGCTCCTCAAAAGGCATTATGGAATTTTTTTTATTTTATTTTATTTTTTGGTACTGGAAATTGAACTCAGGACTTTAGGCATGCCAGACAGGACTTATGCCAATGAGCTATATCCCCAGCCGGGCATTATGGAAATAAAGAGCCACAAACAGGGAAGAAGATTGTAAAACACATCTGATAATGTACTTAAGAAAGCAATGTGCTGGGCATGGTGGTGCACACCTGTAATCCCAGCACTAGGGAGGCTGAGGCAGGAGGATCATTGTGAGTTGGAGGCCAGCCAGGGCTACAAAGTGAGCTCAAGGTCAGCCTGAACTGCACAGTGAGACCCTGTCTCAAAAAGACCAAAAAAAAAAGAAAACAACGTATAGGGTCCGGCATGGTGGTGCACATCTGTCAATCTGTCATCCCAGCACTCAGGAGCCTGAGGCAGGACTGCAGAGTTTGAACTACATAGTGAAGCCTGAACTATATGGTGAGACCCACAAAACCCAAACCATAGCAAAACAAGAAACCAAGAAAGCAATACATAATGGTTAAAAATGGAAAAAAATATGTAAGAAAGCAACAAATCTTCCAAAATAGGAGCAAGACTTGACAGACATTTCACCTAAGGAATTAAAATGGATGACAAAGCAGAGGAAGAGGTGCTCATCCTTAGACATTAGGAAACACAAATGAAAGGCACAATAAAAAATTACTATGCACACAAAAAAACAAAACTCACACAGTACACCTGTGATCCTAGCACTTGGGAGGTTGAAGCAGGAGTATAATGAGTTCAAGGCCAGCCTGGGATCCATAAGGAGACCCTGTCTCAAAAATAAAGGCTTGGGGATGCAGCTCAGTATCAAAGTGCCCATTACAAAAACAACCCCCTCCACCCCACCCAAAAACCAAAAAAACAAGTGCCTAGAAAAAAGTAGAGCACTGGAGATTTCATACCCTGCTGGTCAGAATGCAGAACAGTATTGTCACTTTACAATTTTGGTACTTTATTATTAATAATACTACAGATACATTTACTTATGACCCTTAGTAGGGACTTAGCATTTTTATTTGTCCACTTATCAACAGACATTTAAGTTCTTCTATTTTTTAGGTACTACTATGCTGTGATGAAATCTGTATGCCAATTTTTATGGGAATGGTTTTTCATTTCTGTTTGTTATATGTCTGGGAGCACTGCTGAGTTTTAAGTAACTTTTGAGGAGGTGCTAGGCCTTTTCAAAAGGGTGTACACTATCTGTACTACTTTACATTGCCATGTTCTTGCCAGCACTTATGTCCTATTAGAGCCATCCTAGCTGGTGTGAAGAGAGGTCTTACTGTGACTTCACTTCCATTGCCTGGATGGCTTATGATGGACATATATTCATGTTTCAAGGCCATGTGACTACTTCTTTTGCTAATGTCTTCATATTCTTCACCCATTTAAAAACTTGGCTATTTATCATTTTTACTGAGTTATAGTTTTTTTGTATATTCCAGAATCAAATCCCTTAGGAGAGAAATGACGTGTAAGTTTTTCCTTTCACTCAGTGGACTATCTTTCTCTTCCCTGATGGTACTGTTTTAAACCACAGGCTTTTAATTTTTGATAAAGCATAATTTATTTTCTTTTCTTGCTTGTGTTTTTGATGTCTTAACTAAGAAACCAACATCTAATCCATGTCTCAAAGATTTTTACTCTATGATCTTAAGTTTTATAGCATTACCTCTTACATCTAAGTCTCTTAATTTTTGTTTTGCATGTTGATGTCCAGTTGTCCCAGCACTATTTGTTGAATAGTATGTATAAATTTTTAAGAACAATGTTTCTGAAGAAAAAAGACATAATAAAGGATAAAAATGATAATTATCCAGCCAAGTGTGAATGAATACATTCACTTTAAAGCCCCTCTACCAGGTAAATGTGATATAAGACCATGGACTTTTTCCTAAGCGCAAGAACAATTAACTGGGCTAAAGGCAGTGATGGGAAGCCTCATCTTCAGTGTTCGTCTGCCCAGCTGATCTGCACTTAAAGGAAAAAGTGTAGAAACACTAAATTCCTCAAACACAGAATGTCTTAGCCCACTAGTCAGGTGTACCAGCAAAGAGCAGTAGACACAGCAGATATAAAGCTTGCTTTAAATAAAGACCAGGTACAAAATGAGGACTTTATAAACAGTAAGTTAATGATTTACCAACAAAATTGCACACTATTCAGACTTCGCAGCAGCAGGTCTTGTGTAAAATGTAGTACAACACTGATTATACTTTAAAATGTAAGTCTTTGAGGTAGAATAAACAGCTGTGTAAAAATAGAAAAGGAATTTCAATTAATAAATTCAGTTTTTGTTTCATCAATCTTTTTTGCAATTTTAAGTATTTTGTTGTTTTTATGATACCAGGGATGGCACCCAGGGCCTCACACATGCTTGGCAAGTGGTCTGCTACTGAGCTGCACCCCCAGCTTAAGTTTTCATGAGGGTTAATGGTACTTTCCGAACATTCATCCAGTGATGAAAACGATGTAATATGCTTATTTCTTTTATTCCTAGTATACTACCCTCTGTGAAGGCGTATGTACCATACGCTCTCCATTTGTCTTTCCAAATACAGGTGTGAGAGAATGGACAAATTCTCCTCAGTCTGCTTCCATCTTCAACCTCAATTTCTGGAAAATTCCACTATATAAGATTTTTCAGATCCATTGTTTGAATTGTTCGTTTTTTCCAATTTATTAATCATTTGCCATGATATTTCATTATTCATTCTAAATGTTTTATTATTTTCACTTCCCTGCAAACACTTCAGGAGCAGTTCAAAGGTTTCTCCCTACTTCTGTTGATTGGGCTGTTCCAATAGCAGTCCAGTAAATATTCACTCTGTGAATTCCCAGCACTCATGAGGCTTGGGTAGAGGGATTGTGAGTTAAAGCCTAGCTTGGGCTACACAGCAAGTTTAAGGCCAGCTTGGATTACATAGCAAGAGCCTGACTTTAAAAACAAATTCAGGGGCTAGAAATATAGCTCAGCAGCACAGTGCCTGCCTGGCAAGCATAAGGCCCTGAGTTCAATTCCTGATTCAAAAAAAAAAAAACCCAGGGGCTGGGGATTTAGCTCAGAGGCACAGTGCCTGCCTGGCAAGCTCAAGCCCATGAGTTCAATTACCGGTACCGGGGAAAAAACAAACAAACAAACAAACAAAAAACAAAAAAAAAAAAAAAAAAAAACCCAAAAGCCAAATCAGCATACATTATTCAAAAGTATTTTGGGTTAGGAGTATAGCTCAATGGTAGAGTGTGCTTGCCTAGCATGTGCAAAGCTCTGGGTCCAATCTCCAACACCACAAAAGAAAAAAATATATTTCAGAGCTCAGAGATCTGGGATAGCGAAAATCTTGCCAACTCTGTTCTTTCCACTATCCTCCCAGTCTGGCCACAGAACAAGGCACACTCTCCTGGCTCCTGTACTTACCTTCTGCCTAACAAAGTGTTTCTATCTGAGGGTACTCTAGGACATGGGGATTTTTAAATTCATATTTTGCTTTACCCTAATGTTCAAAACACAACTTCATTTGCGTATTTCATTAAAAAAAATTTTTTTTTTGAGACTGCATCTCATTGTGTAGTTTAGGCTGCTCTTGAATTCACTGTGTTGCCCGGGCTGGCTGCAAATTCATGGAGATCCTCCTGCCTCAGCTTCTCAGTGCTGGGATTACAGGCCTTTGCTGCCAGGCTGGGTGCTCAGCATTGTTAAGAACTGTAAACTAAAGCTATTTTCGGAAATGTAGTCTGTTTATAAAAGGAGTTGATGCTTGGGGGTCTCCAAGTTGTTCAGTCACATGAATAGGTCTTACAGAACTTCAAAGGTAGTATTTTGGTGATGGTATGATGCTACACTTAAGTACTTCCTACAATTTGGAGAGTTCATAAACCCTGCAGTCCATATGAGCGCATTTTATAATATGCATTCAACCAGAATTGCAAACTTGTCCGCTGTGCAGAATGATGAACTTATAAAATACAGTAAAGTGAATTTTAGTAAAAATGTTTATATATTTTAGATTCTTCATTTGAATGGATACCCACTGTTCTGGCATAAAAATATAGCTGAATTTATTATTGGTATTGGTGAAACTTGAACATCCGTAATCCTGTAAAAATGACCAGTGTTTCCTTGGTGAGGTATTCCTTTCAAGTCATCCCAAATGATGCCCTAAGGGGTACTGAGCTACATCCTTAGCTCTTATGTTTAAGAAACAGATTATTATCTCCTTTAGCAACTTTACAAAGTGGTTGATGGCACATACTTCTCCATCAAAGAGATGCTCATCTAAATCTACAAAAAGGTAGGAGTGCCCAGAAAGCTCCTGTAGTATTTTCTGTTGCAGATACAATTTCCTCTGTTTAGGAACTAGTTCAAAATTTGCCATTTTTGCGTAGGTTCGTACAACTTGTTCACAAATATTAAGGACCCTACAGAGACTATCTGAAGGAAAATGAAAGCCATTTTTCTTTTTAACACACAACAGTGACCCAATTTTAGGGGTTTTGGGGTTCAATGCATACAGTGCACTGATACAGTCTTCACACAGCAAAAGAACAGACAACCTATCTGCAACATACCCAGCGCAGCAGGTGAGCCTTTGCCTATGCTCTGACAGGTCTAGCAATGCCTCACTGAGGGAACAGCCAGACCAGTCATGGCAAATCTCCTCCTTGTGAAAAACAGACTTTATGGTGCTGCCGCCATATTGATGCTGAACTGTGCGAAGGGCCAAGTCTTTCCTTTGAGCGACTGAAATGTCAAAGATGCTTACTTCACTCAGGAAAACTTCATCTTGAAATCTGCATCTGGTCTCCAAGTTATGGTAAGCTTTCTGGAATGCCATACAGGTAAGGCTAGAACTGGTTACTAACATCTGCCTAAGCTTCTTTAGAAATAGCTCTATATGATCCTGACTGAACTTATAAGTCAGAAGATATGGAAAAGGCACGACCTTTGGAAAAATGTAATTTTGGTAGAGCCAATTTAAGCTCTCAGCATTAAGCAAAAATCCCAGGAATCCTAGTTTTCGTTTACTTTTAATGATCTGATTATTGCTCGTGTCAGACAGTGTAAGAAAAATAGTCTTGGCTTCAATTAATACATGATTTATTTCACTAAAAGTTTCAGGTAATAGGGGTCTTTTCAATCCCTTTCCATAACAGTTCCTACTATTAAAAATGTCGAACAGATTGCTAATTAAGCGTAAAAAATGAATGGTACCGATACAGTTCTGAAAAGGAGGCAGACCTAACGACAGCAGATATTCTAATGCTTTGGCTACACCCTCGCTGAAGAGTTGGGCAGCACAATTCATTTTCAGTACATGATCTTTCAAATTTGCGAGTTGACTTGGGATCCCTTCCACACTCGATAATTCCTGTTCACCGAGTACCACCAGCTGCACAAGGTGCTGCCAGTGCGCCGTGCCGTTTATGCACTGAATGCTTTGCAGACTCTGAAACGCATTTCTTATTAACTTCAGCAAGTGGCAAGAATCAAAGAAGTATGCAATCTGCTGGCTGGAAGACGAAGGATGCTGGAATGTGCACTTGATGTTGTCTCCGTCCATACGTATCCCCAAGGCTTTTGCCATTTGGATGCTGTGAGCTGTAGCATCAGAGGTAACAGCCAGGACAATGACTCCAATGTCACTCAGTCTGCCAATAGTCAGACGAAGCAGCTGAGCTTGCAAGTATCCAGATGCTCTGTTTACAAAAAAGTAACCAAGAGGCACTCTCCAATGACCAAAAATGCCCACTCCCATTAACAAAACAGTTTCTGTGGCAAGTGGCATTTCATCAGCATCAAGTTTACCAAGACCAAAGTCCATAAATCCTTGCAAACTCTGGCTGCTGGGATCCCACTGCAGTTTCTGCTTGAGAGGTATGCCTTTTATTACCAAAGAGCAATACTGATACTGCTGGTCTCCACTCTCTACTCTTTGTTGGAGAAAAGAAAAACTGTTGCTGTTGAAGCCTGGACTGGGTTTGCATTTGGACAGCCAACTAGGAAACATGAAAAGTGCAAAGCGTAAGACATAAATGAAGAAATATAAAGATACAAAGGATGAAAAGGAAAATGCCTTAAATGGACTAAAATATCCTCAAGTCCCTGTAGAAATAAAGCCATTATAAATATCCAAATTACACTTCCAAGCACATATTCATATAATGAAACAAGGTAAATGAGAAAGTGAGAAACAGTATTTTTTTTTTTTTTTGTCTTTTTGACACAGGGTCTCACTATGCAGTTTAGGCTGGCCATGAGCTCACTTTGCAGCCCAAGCTGGTCTCGAACTTGCAACGATCCTCCTGCTTCAGCCCCCGAGTGCTGGGATTACAGGGATGTGCCACCACGCCCAGCGTGAAACAGTATTTTATGATAGAAATATACTACAACATAATTTTAAATTTCTCATTCTTTAAAAAGTATACAAATTGGGGCCGGTGATATAGCTCAGCATAAGTACCTGCCTGGTAAATTCAAGGTCTTGAGTTTGATTTCTGGTACCAAAAAAAAAAAAAAAAAAAAGTAAACAAATCAAGATGGGCACGGTGGTGCACAGCTGTAATGGCTGTAACCCTAACATTTAGAGGAGACTGAGGCAGGAGGATTGCAGTGAGTTTAAGGCCAGCCTGGGCTACATAGTGAATTCAAAGCCAGCCTGAACTACACAGCAAGATCCTGTCCCCAAAAAAAGTATACAAATCAACTACCCAGTTTGTTCTAATTCATCTTTTTATGATGTAGACCCTAAACGAATCTTATTTATAAATCTACTTAAAGGAGAAAACTGTTGTGTGGGAGGGGCCCCTTGAGAACTTCAAATACATCTACTTCAATTTACAAGCTAGGAAATTGACACAGACAGGCAACTTGGCCTGTTGTGCTGTTAGGAACAAATGCTGGACCCAGCTTTCCTCATATAGACTTGAAATGAGACCCTCAGAAGCTGTAAAGAGTCTTCACTTTCCTACCCTTACACAACACACCTGCACCGTCATCTTGGGAGTTCTTCCTAGCACCCTGACACTCCTGACTGCCAGGTAGTGACTCCTGTTACTACTGCTACTGTTTGTCTTTAGAATGCTTCTTACTTCTGATTTACTCCTTTTAATTTGTTGTTAATCCAGAAAAAGAAAACAGCCATTTAGTAATCTAAAATAAGATTACCATCCGAGTGGTGGTACATGACTATAATCCCAGCACTTGGGAGGCTGAGGCAGGAGGATCACTGTGAGTTTGAGGCCATAAACTACATAGCAAGATCCTGTCTCAAAACAAAACAAAACAAAACATTACAGTAAATGATTCTGAAGTAGAGACTGAGGCGTTCCTCTGTAACTGAAACACAGTTTTATCATTCAAATATCTTTTTTTTTTTTTGTCTTTTTGAGACAGGGCCTCGCTATGCATATCAGGCTGGCCTTGAGTTCACTTAGTCCAGGCTGGTCTCTAATTCAGAACGATTATCCTGCCTTAGCCTCTCAAGTGCTGGGATTATAGGTGTGCACTGGCTTCTTTTTTTTTTTTTTTTGAGACAGGGTCTTGTTATGTAATTCAGGCTGGCCTTGAACTATGTAGCCTAGGCTACCCTCCAACTTACAGTGATCTTCCTGCTTCAACCTCTCAAATGTTGGGATTATAGATATATGCCACCACGCCTGAGTCAAGTGTCTTTTTTATTTTAATTTTTTAGTTAGCCACAGTTTATCCCTGAACAGCTATTGAGATTTTAGTGTCCTTCTCTAAGCATTTCAGGAATTGCTTTTCTAAATATTTAGCTGCAATCTACATGTTTCATAAATAAAATTCATCATTACTATATGTCATGCACTTTCACATACAAAATACACATACATGTTATGTACTCTTCAATGGCAACTATGATACACTAAATTGATTTCATGCACTAATGAAACACATTCATAGGATGCCAAAAGCTATAACTTGATTAGAAGTAGCTTTTTCTTTCTTGGAGTTAGGGTCTTGCTATATAGCCCAGGTGGGCCTCAAACTCACAGCAATCTTCCTGCCTCAGTCTCCCAAGTGTTGAGATTACAGGGGAGTGCTGAGACTATGTGTACCACCATGCCTGCCTAAGTAGTGTATTTATGACGAAACTATCAACCGTTTGTAATTTAAAACAGGTCTAAGTTAGTAAGACAATGAGAGAACAGGACAGTGGTGTCATAGCCAAAAAACACTGCCCTCTGGAGGACAGGACAGGGAGATGCCACCACGCTGAGCTGTCTGTTTTCTCCCCAGCTATCACCTGTAGAGGAAGTTAATTTACTTGCAGTGAACACAAACACAGAAACTTAGAAACAGGAAACACAAATAAAGAACTGCCCAGGCACTTTCTATGGCCGAGATCATACTAAATGCGTCATCATTACAGTATAACTAGGAAAGCTGAGGCTATTATGACATAATTTCAAAGGACTTATGAAAACAGCTTAGAAATCCAAAGCCCAAATAACAGCACAGCTCTGAGTAAGTCGAAGACATAAAGAACTCAGGGAGAAATAAAAAAGGATCCTTCATACAAAAAAAAAAAAAAAAGAGGAATCTGATATAGTTAAGAATTCAAGAAAGATGTCTGATGATTAGAATTAGTGAGAGAAGTAATTACATAACTAAACCAAATGTATTTTAAACAATTTAAGCTTGGCCTGTCATCATCTAATAGCCATTCTCTTTAACAATTCTGACCTCAAATCTGCTGCTACATTTTTGCATAATTTTTCTGAGCTGATCATGAGTATTTTCCCCTTTGTATCCAAACTTCTAATGCCCCCCAACTCTGACAATAAGCTTTATTTTACTGAGAAAATACAGATGGAGTCAGATCAGAACTCATTCCTTCCACCCAATCTGCATCCATGTCTCTTTCTTCCTGATCCAATCGATAAACTACTCTGACAAGTTGCACCTCCCCCTAGCTGGACCGGGTCTAGCTCATGCAAACATGCGATTATTCTTTCTTGTGTGCATCACCAATTTTTGTCTCTCTATTCACGTGTGGTCATCCTCATGTGCGCACAGGCATGCTGGGACATCTGCCAAATCAAACCCTTCCTTCTACCTAGAGATCCATTTCCCAGCTCTCCGTCAGAGAAAAATGGCCTGAGAGAGCCCATAATTATTTTTCTGCTTCTTCAACTTCCCATGTGCTGATTCCATGAGCCAGGTTTACCTCTTCACCACTCCTCTGCAACTGCTTTTGTCAAGGTCACTGTTATGGTTAATACATTGTGTCACCTTGGGAAGTCTAGAGGTTTGACTAAGTAACTCAACAGTTCTACATCTTGGGGTGAAAAGCACATGGCCTTTACCCTTCTGGGATGTTGTTCATTGTGTCAATTTAAAAAGTTTAGAAAGTTGCCAGGTGTGGTGGCGGCAGGCCTATAATCCCAGCACTTGGGAGGCTGAGGCAGGAGGATCATTGTTAAGGCCAGCCTGGGCCTTAACAAAGTGAGCTCAAGGCCAGCCTGAACTGCATAGCGAGACCCTGTCTCAAAAA